TCTTGAGTAATCAAATTGTATTGAAAGCTGGAGAGCTATCTCGACATAGGAAATGTGCAAACGAATGGAACTATATACTTCCTGTTTTTGTGGGTCGAACAGAGTCGAACAGAGTCGAACCGACTGTGTTCGACTTGCATGCGGACAACCTCATTGGTCGGTCGAACGGAGTCGAACCGACCTCGTTCGACTTGCATGTGACGAACACCTTTATTGGTCGGCACGGAATGCGTGATATTCCGTTCCGTCTTCGCACCGTTCCCATCTTGGGTCGTAACATCCCTTGAGAAGAGCCTTTCGCTTTAAGTCCGCGCTTCCGACCACCAGGCTATCCAAGCCTAAGGAAGAGAGTCTAGTTAGTCAAATTTCAAAACTATGGAGAAAATAGACATGGAGGCTTGCCAAAACCAATCATGATACCCCCTTCGTCAACGTTAACAGTGTTCTCTGGCCGAATCCAGCCGTACTGGCCCTCCCTGATATCGAAGTACCAATGAACCGCTTTAGGCGTAAAGGAGTCAAACCTATTGGCTTCTTGACGTCTACCGATCTTAGTCTTAAGGTCTGGGCGGCGCTCAATGAATCTGGCTACCCAGTTGCGTCCTAATTCCCGTTGGTCGCCTTGTTGTCTTAGCAAGCCCATGACGCAAGCGCGAATCTGATTGTGGGACGGAGCATATCCCAGAGACTCCTGACGAAGAATCCAGAAAGCCAATTTGTCTTCCTGAGTCTTGGATAGCCGTTGACCAGGCTGAATTTGCTCTTTTATGGCTGTCTGGCCGTTAAGTCTGTCGATTAGAGTGGTTCGAGGCACTCCCCGTCGCTGAGCCGCCTGAGGGGGTGACAAGCCATTATCGGTGACATCCAGTATAGCCTCGGCCATGTCGTCTTCCGTATATTTCCAACGAGGCCGCGATGAAGGCATTTTGATCGTGTTGTGAGAGACTAGCAGGAGAAATGTTGGGAAAGAGCGGTGAGGAAATTGGGGATTGAAGTGGTGATATTTCCTTACAACGACCCACATATATCGCGTGCCCCACTCAACTGCATAAGACCTGAAATAAGAATTTCTATCAATTCTATACTTGATAGAGGCAACCGCATTTAAATAACTTTTATTCTGGTCAAGCTGCGTGTAAATGAAAGTGTTAAGTTTTGGTGGGGGAATTTTTTTTTTGCCTGACGAAAGGGTGGGGTTGTCGAAAGGGTGGTGGCGTATGGTATTCTTCAAGTGTTCAGTGTCCTATCCACGGCGGCTGAAGCGGTGTTCGCTATTTTGGCACGGGGTGAGGGTGGGGTGAAGTTGAAATAGTAGGGGTGTAAGGGGGTTGATAGAGAGAGGCCTGTCTCCCTAGTTAGCTTGCATCGAGGCGGCCTGTGGCCAATGCAAATCGGATTGTCGCTTGAACGGCCTTCATGTTTGGCGTCCATTTTTGGTCATCAGATGGTGACTTTCCTCCAAGATAAAAAGAGACATTGCTCCTCTGGGTGCTAGTGCATTGAAGCATCTCTGTACGGTATGCCGTCCACTTTCGGCATCGGAAGAGGAAGTGTTCAACCGTCTCTCTCGCTTGTCCACAATCACGCTGGTCCGATGATACCGCTTTGATGTGAAAGAGGTACGAGTTTAGTCTTGCCATGCCCGTTCTGAGTTGCGCCAGCACATTCGCTTCCTTCCATGATAGCTGGTCGTAGAGTTGTTTCGTGTGTTTGCCTGGCAGTGCTGCGTCTATTCGCTTGGAGTGTCTTCCAACTTTTTCCGGCAGTGTCCTATTCGCGTCGACTTTCGATTGCGCAATTCTGAGCGTCGTCGACCGCATGCTAGAGCACTGTTTTTCGGGCATGGTTCCTTGCTGTGTTGCCTTCCGAGCCTCCTCCTTGGCATGCTTGAGAAGCTTGTTCTCGGCACTTGAGGGTAGCCACAGAACTTTCACAATGTTTCCATCATCCCGTAGTTCCTCAATCAAATCGTAAATACAGCGTATATATTCTTGTCCAGATTGCTGACGGGGTTGCTTGAGTGAGAGCGGAGCAGCTTTGTTGCTCGTGATCAGTGCGACGCTGCGATATTTGAAGTATGGTAGGGCTCGCCTCAAAGCATATTTCATCGCCGCAAGTTCTCCGCTGTACGGGTTCTGTTCTGTTCTCAGACCAAGGGTGAGCGAGAAGGTCTGGAGTTTCGGACCGCCTTGCATGGACAACGGAATCTGGATTGCTCCGCCAACACCTACTATGCCGTTCCGCGCGGAGCTGCTCACCGCGACGCGTATGGCCCAACCTGCTTCTGCCTCTCTCGCTGCCGTCCCATCGGTAGTAGCTTCCACTCATTCTTCCCATGGCGCTAACGTAAGTGGTTGAATGGTTTCCAGCCAGGGTTGAAAGCCACTCCACTCAATCCACTGGCTGCTCGAGTGGAGTGGGTAGATCATAATCCACTGAATATCTCAGGATAGTGGATCCACTGGAAGCCATCGTGGATTAGGGTGGATTAGGGTGGATTGGGTGGATTGACAAGTGCCTCCATTCGCGATGGTGAAGCTATTCCCGAAGCCTTTGCCCACGTAAGTGCCTAGTTCCAACTTCCAGAAGCTCCAAGTGAGACTATCTCAAACTGGCTTCCATCTAGTCTTGAGCGCTCGCCACCTGAGTTAGCCACTTTGTTGCCCACCCTTCAAGCGCTGATCTGACATCTGAGCCAATTCGACGTTAACTTTTTCTTCGTCTACCGAGATAAAGAAGGGATCTAAATCGTGAATAATACCCGCCCTCAGCCAGGAATGCAATACCTGGTGCATCCCGATAATCTGGGCTCCAAGTTGGTAGCGCAGAAGGTTCACCATCCGACCTGCTGCTGAGAAAAGACGCTCATACACTCTGCAGACATGGGTTGTATTGTGAGAAAATCAAGCGCCATTCGCGATAAGTTTGGATACTTGAATCGCTTCTCGTGCCAAACTTTCTACCGGGTTTGCCAGTAAGCGAGAGGATCGTAGATTGAGCGAGAGGATCGCAGATCATCACTTTCGCAGTGCGTAACCCGATGTCGTGGATGTCGAGAGAGGGGGTCTAAGTTGAACGGGGAGGATAGGGCGTCGGGCAGGGCGTTGATTCGGGGGCCGCCGCTGTCGGAAACATCGACGTAAGAATCAGGCGAGGTCATGGTAAAAAGATGTCTTGATCAGGTCGATATCGCAACGCATGGTTGGCAGTCAAAGGTCAGCAGGTTGTCGAGGGAGCGCGAAAAAACGCGTCCAACGCGTCGAGGTAGCACATTATGTCCGCATCTTGCAGATGTTTCGGGTACTTCCTGCTCAGACTAATTTGTGTGGGGAAGCAAGTCGTGAGGGGCTGAATTCGTTAAGTCCCTAATAGCATCCAAGTACGAACTGACGCGGTAAATGTATCTAGCAATTGTTCGCGCAGTACTGAAATAATGAAGCCTCTGGATGCATTTTTCGAATCGTCTTGCAGAAGTCTATTGAATAGTATAAATTTCGTACCATGAGTCCAAAACGTGGATAGTCGAGGTGCTCGAAATGCGGTTTTGCAACTAGACCATGTATGAATGATTAACTGCCGTCATGACGATATGGGATTCCATGAGGAAATCTTAAGCGCACAAGTCGAGATCTATATCATTCGAATGATAAAACACAGAATATTCGAATAGTACTCATTTAATTTGCGTATTGTAACATCGCACTCTCTGGAAGCTTCATGATTTCGATATAGGGTAGAAGGATTACTGTGACGGTGGGGCGCATCAGACACTGTTAGGGTCTCTCTGCCAAATTATATGGGCGCCCCTAACTGCTCCACTTCTAATCCACTAGAATTTTGCCAGTGGAGTGGTCAGTGGAATCCACGAGTGGATCCACTGCGTGGATTGAGTGGAGTGGCTTTCAACCCTGTTTCCAGCTGTTCCATTGGGATATCAACTAGAGTCGTTGCTACCTGGTAGAGCGGTGACCGGTGAGATCTTCTGAACATTCGTATGCGAGATGTCATTCTGCGAAGAGAATTGGTATCGGGCAAGGTGTGGATATTCGTCCACATCTTGATTGCCCTCTTCCAAAACCTTTGTTGTGCTGGAGCAATGTGGGCTTCTGCTTCTGCCACGCTTGTCGCCACGGTACTAAACGTCCCAACAATTGCCTGTGCTCCCGCTTTCTGAACCCTGTTGATCGGTCCTTTGAGTCTGTCTTTGACCCGATGCATCCACACGTTGGAGGCATAGTCCACAACTGGGGCTACTGTAGCTGTGAATAATTGTCTTGCTGTTGCTGGCGACAAGCCCCTTAGCCTCTTCAGTTCCATTGCTGCCTTCAAACCCTTAGAGGCTGCCCTCGCAATATGTTCCTTGTACTTGAGCCCGGCGTCCATGACGACTCCTAGGATCTTGACATGGTCTTTTGGATGAATCACCTGTCCCTTGATTGTGAAAGGATTTGAGTCGGTTTTGTAGTCTCTCCGAGTGAAGTGTATGACAGCCGTCTTGTCCGCCTCAAACGTCGCGCCGCTTCTCCTCTCCCAATCCAACGCGTTTTCGATGATTGACTCGACGCCCTCGCGGTTGCTTTGTGCCGTTGGCCCTGTGACCCAGGCTGTGAAATCGTCCACGAATGCGATCGCTCCTCTGTTGCTGTCGATATTGTCACATGTAAATGGAAAGATGTCATGCATGTGAGGGTTGTAGAGAGTCAAATTGGCCTTGATCACTGCTCAAGTCAAGAGGACGAAGGTCCCAGTTATATACACAACAACGGTGCCCAAGTGGGTCGGGACGCCTCCTCGGCTGGGGCGGAATATCGTTTGACAGATATGACGCTGTAGGTAAGACGCCAAACGTTATTGATTATGCCATTAAGGTGACAAGAGGAGTCGGTTTCACCTACCTTTGGATCGACCGGTATTGTATCCCACAAGAGGACAAGGGCAGCAAGCACATCCAAATTCAAACATGGGCAAAATGGATGTATTATATCTTGTTCGTTTCGCTCGCCTCGAAGCAAAAAGGAACCCGCACGGTGGCCGCACCCTGCCTTTGCCTATGAGTTATCCCGATCTAGAGCCCCTACCATCACAAGCTTCGTGCACAATCAGCACCATTCAATCGTACAAGCCTGATCTTGTCGTTCGGTCAAAGATGCTTGGCGGTAAAAGTCGTTGATTCCATCGCAGTCACGATCACTACGCTCCGAAAGGCTACGGAGAAATATGAGACTATGAAGGACGACATAGACCTCCCGCCGGCTTTTCATGCAGCGGGCCAACGGCCTGGCCTTGTTCGGCACACTCTCGAGATTGTCAAAGGTCAAATGAAAGGCATCCGCCTCGCCGGAAATGTTGACGACGCGATGCGCTCGCTTGAGGAATGCGACAAGAAGGTTAAGATCTTGCAGGATATGTTCGAGCAAATCGCTCTTCAACCGCAGACGTCGAGGCGGGCTCGCTACCTTGCCGCTGTGCGATAGCAAGGGATGGAAACTGCGGCGGAGATCTTGACGGTATAATGGAAGCGACACTCGTCGTAGCTAGGACGGCGCTGTCAAGGATGCGACCGAGGCGCAGGCTAAGGAATTGCGGGGCCCCCCTACCTAGCTGTCCTCCACTAGCACCCTCACAAGCCCTCATCGAGCAGGACCCTAAAGATCAATTCCGAGACGGCGCTACGCCGTGGCTCGCGGTCGTGCAACCTTCATCCACGCCTCCGCCCGGCCATCGACGTCATCGGCCGGCCCACGCTCCGTCATGATTCCGTTACAGAATCCTTCCAATTGGCATTGTTTGCCACGGGATTGCAGGCCGACCGTCATCGCCCCCGGAACACATGCCCCGGGCGCCGCCCGTCATTAGAAAACAGGGCCCAGCGCCGGGGCGTTGTTTTTTCTCAAAGGGGCGGCGCACCCTCTGGGAGAAGGAGTGGGATGGATGGATTGCCTAACGTTTTGAAGCATTAGCATATGACGCTGCTGGTTCGCCATTGCATGGTTCACAAACCAAGATAACAAGATATAACCCAGAAACTATCCAATTGCCAAGAATTGACACAGCGCAGAAGCGCGCTGTGTCTCGCAGATGTGCTTTACGCAGTGGATTGAGCACACCGCTTTGCCTACGGCAACGCACCCAATCCAAGGGACAAAGTAGTGCTGGTGGAGACTATCCAGAGACCAGTTGTCTCTTTCTGAATTTTAGGGCCATTAAAGAGCTCTGAGATCACGGTCTCGGGGCTAACGTTTGTTAGCCTCTGTTCTAAATATAGTTAATAGGCCGAGCACCACCCTTTTACCAACCGAACCCCATCTTGGGTCTAGGGTAGGAATGGGATTAGTGAGGGGCCGAGGATGGTGGAGTCACGATAGGAGGGGCGGAGAGCCGCGGGTTGGGACGGGAGATAGCCTGGGAGGGACAAGGACCTGGTGGCCTAGGGCCTATCCATGGTTTGTGGGGAAGCTCTCTCCGAATCCGAAGCTGGGAAAGACGCAAGAAACGTGAGAGAGAGTGAGAGAGCGACGCGGTGGTGAGAGGGGCCGGCGAGGAGTGGGTATGGGGTTGCGTAGGACCAACACGCAAACAGCAGCAAGGAACAGCCCAAACACGCAAAGAACAGTAAATAGACCCAACTCCGACAGCCTGCCTGCCCCACGATGCCCCTCACTCTCTCCCAAGATACTACTGATATAGCAGTCCCTGCGCTGTACCCCAGGCCCAACCCAGCTTATAAAACGCCGGATAATTGGCGCTACAGGGATGGAGCGACGTTCATGCGCCAAGCCTTTCAACTAGCTGCAGCCCGTAGCCCGTGGCCCGTGGCCCGTGGTTGCAGTTGCAGGGCGTGGGCCGGCCCCCATGGGTCTGTCGATGGGTCCCCCTTCCCCCCCACAGTCCCATCAGCATCCCATCCGGAATCCCCCCAATCACGCAGATCTCGCAATCACGGGCTCGATCCGCGGTCGTATCCCACCCTTCGTCTTGGAGGGGGGCCTGAGGGGATTGAAGAGGGGGGGATGGCGTCCCGGCTCCCATTGTCGAACCCTGGCGTGATCGCCCCTCGAGAAACATGGTCATGGCCATGGGATAGGGAAATGGAGATGGAAAATGGACAAGCAACGCTGCGGCTTTGCGAGGCGTCGTTTGCCTTTTCCACCCCTACCCCTCCCGTCCCCATCCCTTAGCCTCTGAGATCCTTGGGGAGGGTCCTGGTGGTAGGAATAGAGCCCTTGCTGGTCCGGGGAGCTTGAAGCTTGATACGCAAGGTGGCGGCGGAGGAGGGTTGTCGTTCAATGGCCAGCCTACGGCGCGGAGATAGCTATGCAGCGAGAACGTGTGAGGAGGAGAAGGCGGCGGGTTTGGCTGCGGAGGAGGCACGCGGGGTCCTCCTGGTGGCGTAGGTGGAGGGTCAGGATCTTGGGGTTCAGGAGTAAACGGCCGTCGAGGGATGAGGGGAGGGAGAGCTATCTCAGCGAGCATGGCGAGGTTGATGAAGGAGAGGAGAGGCGGAAATAGGTGGGATAGGAAAGGACGGCGACAGAGACAAAGACAACGACGGCTGGGACAACAAATATGATGAAGAGACCGAGAGGGAGGGGGAATCGATTCACATCTAGAGGCGTACACCCGCGCACCCGCTTGTCTCGAGAATGTGAGGATCTGGGGAGACGCGCGCAGCGCGTGAGGTTATATTCGTCTGCCACCCTCCGTCCCAGGCATCGCATCGCAAATTCCGGATGCGACGCACTTCCGAATGAGGCTCACATTTCGTCTCTCCGCATCATGGCACGACACGCAGCTCGACCAGGGATGCCCTCCTCAAGCCCCAAGCCCCAAGCCCTGGACCTTGCCCGCACGGGCTCTGTCGCAGGTTCGCGCGGCCGGGTGACGATATCACTCAGCCCTATAAGCCCAACCCAACGCGGGTGAGCTGAGGTCATGTTTCTCTGCAGCCTGCACGTGGTGCTTGCGTCACGCCGCTTAGTCTTGTCATTGATGCAATATTATCCTTATTCAGTATGTAGCCAGCCTCTCGCGAGCCGTTGCGGCCAGGCGAGAGGCAGCTTCAGTTCTAGACCCGCCAACGTACCACATCCCAACACCACTGTCCTGGCTGTGGAGAGCGAAATGACAAATAACAGATGAGATCTGGAAATCCTGGAAGGGCCGATACTTATTCGTATGTTGGGTGTTGGGGGGCTAATGCGGCTGCGCGGCACAAAGGAGATGTGACCATGCAGTGCAGGGCGCGGCAGTGGTAGGCGTGTTCGATGATCCACGCGAGATAAGATGAGAAACAAGCACTTGCAAGTCCAGGTAAAATTCACGCAGACAAGGTCATCATTTGCTGGAAAGGGGAAGTGATGGGGTGTTGGAGCCACAGAACTGAACGCATCAGGAAATAGGTCCGAGCCCAAACTGGCTCCTGTTTCAAGCCCAAGGGTTCATCATCTGTCACCTATTTTACCAAAGAGCGAGGGATAAGGGGATTGAGTTGGTACACTGGACAGCCTCACTGCCCCGGTTTTCTAATTTTAGAATGACCTCAAACAAGAAGAACCTGGTTGCTAGTACCTTAGTTCGAGTTCTCTAATTTTAGACAATCTTGGACGAGAAATCTCAGCAGACATCCCGAGGAAGATCCCCGACATCTTGAGATCCCTCATATAACACGAGATACCTGGTCCTAGCCTGGAGATAGTGCGAGAAAGTTTGTAATATCCTATACCTCATAGGAATGAAAAGAGATCTCTAATGCGATCATCAAGATCGTAGGAAAAGTCTCATGAGACTAGGCAGATCACAAGAGATTCCTGGTATAGCACTAACCTTAAGATGTAGCACCTCTATTTCTCTGATCAATAGAGTACGTAGAAGTGATCAACGAATCCCTGACTGCAGGTAACGCGACTTGCATGCAGAGGTACCATAGGTGTTGCCCTCGGTATGAGCGCCCGGTGCCTCGTGCATACGCGTGCTGGGCAGGGGCCACAGACATCCGAGAGGATATTTAGGTCAGGCCCATCCGTAGAGCCTGGTCTTCTTCTACTGATACGCAATCCTTCTCTGGTTCGGCTGATTGGTAGCCAGGACGAGTCCAGGGCCCAGCGACCCGCCCCTTGCTCACTAATCCGGGACAGGTCTTGACGATCGTCCTACGCGTGTCACACACTCCAGCCGCCCACGGAGTAGTGAGCGACCCAACGCGTCCACGACGCGCTATGCCCCACAGCAGGGCTAGGAGACCGCTGACCGCGGACATCGACGGGAGCAAGCGCCTCCATAGAACAGATTCTTGTGCTCATTTTCACTATCAGCCGTTGCCTCTCTCCCAAAATAGCGATGTACTGTGTCGGGCCAATCATTGCGAAATGCACGAAAGAGCTTCTGCCTCCTCGGCGGAAGTCTACGTCGACAACTCAGCCACGCCACAGCCTCGTTGGGCACTCACCTGAGTACCGTTGCCAGATCCCCTCCCTCATCATCTCGGGCTGTTGAAGCGCAAGCTAGACTCCCTCGAAAACTACTTCCCTGACTATCAGTACGTTATCGCGTACCATGGCCGAGGCGGTGGGACTCGCCGCAAGCGTCATCGCAATCATCGACCTGTCCGCCAAAGTCGCTGTCCTCTGCCTCGATTACTCCACCGCCGTCGGCAATGCTAGGGCCGACATCACACGCCTCCGACACCGGTTGGACGACCTAGGCACAACCCTCCAAGGAGTTCGGCATCTTCTTGATGACCCGAGTAGTCAAGCGCTCGCGACGTCGCGAAGACTGGTCGACTCTGTTGATGCCTGCACATCAGAGCTGGCCCAGTTGCAGAGCAGGCTGGATCCGGGTAAGGCCCGTAAGGCGATGCGCCGTTTCGGAATTCGTGCTCTCAAGTGGCCGTTCGATAGCAAGGAGGTCAGCGATATCGTCTCTAACCTAGAACGCTATGAACGGACCATCACTCTAGGTCTGCAAATCGACCAAACGTAAGTCAGCAAACCGTCTGGATGTTTTGAGTACGATGGACCAGGCTGACGGCATCGTCCTTGCAGTACGCTTCTCCTCGACATCAGGCAGAGGATCGAAGGCGTCTCGCTCCAACCCGAAGAGGATGTATCGATAGCTCGCAAGCCCTGCTTCAGCCTACCGTTCGAACGCGATCCTGACTTCGTCGACCGACCCTACATTATGGCATGGATAAAAGACCAATATACAGGCCCCGTCGGTCGCATGGCCCTCGTAGGCATGGGCGGATTCGGGTACGAGCCGGAGTGGCTAACAATCTTGTGCAAGACCATCATCACGCTGACTGGCCGTAGTAAATCGCAGGTCGCCATTCAATTTGCGCATCACGTCCGCGACACGTCACCGCAAACCAGCGTCTTCTGGGTACACGCGAGTTCGAAGCCAAGGTTTGAAGAGGCATACCGGTCCATTGCGGACAATCTACGGCTACCTAGGCGAAACGATCCCAGCGTCGACGTGCTCGGGCTTGTTCGCGACTGGCTGCAGAGAGAGGAAGCTGGCCCGTGGTTGATGGTCTTGGACAATGTTGACGACGTCAACCTCTTCAACCCAACTCCAGCACCGGAAGAGATGGGGCAGTATGCCATTCAGCGGACGAGAACCCTGCTGCACTGAGCGTGCAACGGCCACTCGCAGTCTTCCTACCGAAATGCCGCAATGGAATCATCCTCGTCACATCACGCAGCATGGACGCCGCTGAGAAGCTAACAGGTAGCCATAAGGCTGTCTACGGGATCTCAGCCATGGATGACGCCCAAGCCCTTCTGCTTTTCCGCAACAAGCTGCAGGGAGACTCTGACAAGAATGCCGCTGCTGATCTTCTTCGTGCTCTGGATTATATCCCGCTGGCCATTACCCAAGCGGCGGCATACATCAACCGTCGCGCCCCCCGCATATCGGTAAAGACATACCTGGACACCTTCCGGGAAAGTAATAAGAAGAAGGGCAGCCTCCTCAATAGCGACGCAGGGGATCTTCGACGGGATGAGACCGTCTCCAACTCCGTGGTTACGACGTGGCAAGTAACCCTTGAGCAGATACGCCGCGAGAGACCATCCGCAGCCAACCTGCTCTCACTTATGAGCTTCTTCAATCCGCAGGGCATCCCGGAGTTTGTACTCCACAACTATAAGGGCGAACTGGAGGGCAATGTGGACAGAGACGAAGATAGGGATGAATTTGAGGATGATCTAGATGTCCTCTGTGGCTACTCGCTCGTGTCTGTGACAGCAACGCGGGATGTATGCGAGATGCATTCCCTCGTGCAGTTTTGCACACGAGCTTGGCTGTCTATGGTTGACGATGCAGAACGATGGAGACAGGTATTTTTATGGGCCATGTCAAGACATTTTCCATCTGGTGCATTCGAGACCTGGCCCACCTGTCAGATGCTACTTCCTCACATTGAGTCGATGTTGGAGGAGGAGCCACCAAACGAGGACCTGCAGAAGTGGGCCCTTTTGTTGACAAATTGTGCACGGTATATGTTCACTATAGGGAACTACAGGGCGGCAAGAAAGTTGGGCGACAAAGCAGTCAAAACGAGGGCCAGTGTGCTGGGAGAGGAGCATCCCGATACGCTGAGCAGCATGAACAACCTGGCGTTGACATATAGGAACCAAGGGCGATGGAAGGAGGCGGAAGAGCTACAAGTGCGAGTGATGGAGACGAGGGCCAATGTTCTTGGAGAGCAGCATCCCGATACGCTGACCAGCATGGGCAACCTAACGGTAACATATATGAACCAAGGGCGATGGAAGGAGGCGGAAGAGCTACAAGTGCGAGTGATGGAGACGACGAAGAATGCTCTTGGAGAGCAGCATCCCTCGACGCTGAGCAGCATGGCCAACCTGGCGTCGACGTACTGGAACCAAGGGCGATGGAAGGAGGCGGAAGAGCTAGACTTGCGAGTGATGGAGACGAGGAAGACGGTGCTGGGGGAGGAGCATCCCGATACGCTGACCAGCATGGCCAACCTGGCGTCGACGTATAGGAACCAAGGTCGATGGAAGAAGGCGGAAGAGCTAGACTTGCGAGTGATGGAGACGAGGAAGACGGTGCTGGGAGAGGAGCATCCCAAGATGCTGAGCAGCATGGCCAACTTGGCGTTGACGTACTGGAACCAAGGGCGATGGAAGGAGGCAGAAGAGCTACAAGTGCGAGTGATGGAGACGACGAAGAATGTTCTTGGAGAGCAGCATCCCTCGACGCTGACCAGCATGAACAACCTGGCCATTATCTGGAAAGACCAAGGCCGCTCTAGAGATGCTCTAGCTCTGATGCGAAACTGCGTTGTCCTACGAGAGCGAGTGCTTGATATAGACCATCCGGACGCAGCATCCTCGGCGGCAACTCTAGCTAATTGGGAGGAAGCGAGCGACCTATCATAGGAAAGGAGACAATTTTGAAAGATGAACATGTAGGGGCGCTTGTTAGATGAACCTCGTGTGCTAATTCATGATAAAAACCACTTCTCAGTCGCTGCCAGCACATTTACTGCATATATTAGGCTACCTAGTAAGCCCACGACTTTTTAGGAGGGAAAGGAGATTAAGAGCTAGAATGATATTTTGAGAACTCGGCTGGCACCTATCAAGCATTCGACGAGCAAGACAGACATCGCATGGTAAGGCACTGCATTCCAGTCGCAGCGACACTCATCTATTCAGGGTCAGCGGCCTGGCTTCATTGCTCCTACTTCTTCCTTCACTTAGAATGAAAGCGCACCTGAAGGACTCCCACACTCCGTCCCGGCAATAACTGCGTACACTCGGCCCTGATCCTCCGCGCAGCCTTGGATCAAGGTACGTGTTGACTTGTAAAGATCGTCTAGTTGTTTGGGGCTGCCTTCATTCAGCAAGGACCAGCAATGAAGTGGAAGGAATGGCTTACATTGTGTTTTCATCTGCCTTTTGCATTTTGAAGCTAAATTGACGGTGCCAATTGAGAGCTGATTGTACCTGCAATATGTCCTTTGTAGTCTTATAGAGGTCTTTGGCCTTCTCTACTGCCTCCTTCTTGACAGCGGCAAGAGAATCTTGGAGCATCTTCTTGTCGTTGCGGAGTTTTTCTGTCATCGATTCTTTCTCGATGACTTGCTGGACTCACCCCAGTTCGTTCCCCCGACCAGGCGAAGGGTACGCAGATGGTACAAGAAAGACTCCAGGGGATGAATGCCCTGTCGCGAGACAAGGTTGATCGCGGAGGCTTGTCTTCTAAGCGAAATGCCAGCTCCGCTTCCCGCCACGCTGGGGCCATTGAGCTTCTCGATCCTGGAACGCATAGACAGCACGATCAGTGGTATGGGGCAAACGAAGACGTGTCATTCCGCTAGCCTGGACTCGAACAAGTACAAACATCGTCATTCCGCCGCCCGCTTCTCCTCCAACAACCGGAGGCGGTCGCGGATCGCAAACTTCCACTCCTTCGTCACCTTGTACACCAGGAGGAGGCCCAAAGTGAAGAGCAGGATGCAGGACGTCACGATCGCCGTGACGCCGACCCAGAGCGCCGCCCCCGTCCAACCGCCCCCGCCGTTCTCCCCGACCGACACGACGACCTGCAATCCGCTCAGGACCACCGACGTGATCCCGATCACGAACAGGATCGGCCCGTAGAAGCGCGCAAAATACGTCCCGTACTGGTGCTCGACCCTCTGGAAGTGCGACTTGCCGAGGAGGAGCGGAGCGTACAAGTTGAGCCGCGTCAGGCGGATCTCGCCGTAGGCGTAGCGCAGGGAGACGTCTCGGTCTGCGATGTCCCCCAGGCTCGACGTGAAGTCGCAGAACTGCTCCCAGGTGATGTCCGGCGGGACGAGGCACAGGCTGGGGTCCTGGGCGATGCACAAGTCGGACTCGTGCTTCACGAGATGGTAGTACGTCCGGAGGTAGCCCAGCGCCGCTCGTCGAATGCGTTCACCTCCGCTGCCGGCCTCTGTGCAGAGATAGTCCCTCCAGAATGCGTACGACTGATGTACCGCGGGAGCGGCTTGATGAAGATGCGATCGTCGATCCACGCCAGGTGGAGCTTCGGGTCCTCCGTCACGACGATGGTGCGCCGTTTCACCAACTGCCGGTAGAGAGGCGATATATTTCCGCTGTCCTGTTTTGACATCCACCAGAGCCTGTTGGCGATCCGGTCCAGATCGTCCGAGCAGAATTCTCTGGCCAGCAAGTCCCATACCTTGCTTCGGTTCTCTAGAGGAATGTGGGGGTGTCCCGGCACGTGCCGGGCTGGCTCGTCTAGCTCCCGCGTTTAGCTGATGCTCTAAAGCGAAGGGCGGTGTCAGGGCCATTGATATCGTCGTGAAGGTGAGGAAGCATGCTTAGGATCAAAGTGTGGTACACTGCCCCGAGAACTCGACGACGTGGGTTGATCCGCGCATAGACGAGGCACATTTTGAGGGGGAACCACCAACACACAAGCACTTTCGATCGTTAGAACTGCACCAAAGCCAGGATATGCACTTACTTCTCTAATCATGCTGGAGACGATGATGGGAGAGCTCAGGCACGTTGACCAGGGATCTCCACGTTCTTGCATCAGAACTGCGAATGTAAGTGCGGATCCGGTAGCAATCACGCAGTGCGTAATCACCACCGCCGTGAATGTACGAGGATGCCTTGTAGATAATGATGGAGGGACCACGGATACTGAGCTCGTCTCTCGATGGTTTCGTTGAGTGTTTCGATACTGCAGGATGACCTTGACAGATGTTGATAAATTCGCTGCGGCACCGAGGACGAATGCCGTGGTCAATGCAGTCGATAAAAAATCTGTGGGACTCATCGTGATAAATTTGATCGTTATGGGACACTTCTCCGAGGTGGTGCCACGGTGTCTGTAGGCTGAGGCATTCAACAGCAACCGCTTCGGGCTTTACTCTAAGAGCATGCCAAGGGAACAGGGACGGCTCCCACGAGAATCTTGCCTCCATTCTTCTATAATCTAGTTGTGTTATCTGTCCCTAGGGGTGTTGGTGTAAACTGCATGCTGGGGAGGTGTGGAGTAGAGAGTATACCTTACCATCAACAGCTGCCACCCTTGACCGGCAGAATCGTTAAAGGAGGCCGCCAGAGCTGAGGCATAGATCAATGACCACAAGACTAACTCTTGTCGTGCCGGTCTGGCGGGCCAACAGCACGGAGAGACCGACGGGTCAGGGCAACGCTGACATGGTCATGCCAAGCGAGGTGTGGCAGGAATCATGGAGACGAAGAATCTTTCAACTGGTTCAGCCGGTTCAGGGGTCGGTGATATGCCTAGGTGGTGTCTCGGGCAAAACAAAATGGCTGTGGGAGGAGGCTTGACCATCTTGCGGGCGCTACCTCGTTGTATCAAGTTTGTTGCTCGTGGACGCTAGAACGGCGACCAGTACCATCCTGGAGTCTGAGCGAGTCAAGGCGCGTTCGACTGTCTCCAATGGCATGGTAGGCTTTGTCGACTGGTGATGGACATTCGGTATGCCTTTGCATAGGAACGTCAGCGACACTGGCTGATGCTCTTCGTTGATTAGCTTTTGAACACAGAATTGCCCACTTGCGTTCCCGTATGGCTTCTCTCATCGCCGCACCGTCTTTCTGTTTCGTGTATTGGCGCAAACAGTCGTCAAAGAGTTGCGGGCTAATGTCCATAAATGAAGCCATGACAGAATACACCATTCCATGGATCGTCCTAAGTCCCGTGAGCAATAAGCCTGCCAACAACAGGGGTCCATTTTACCTATTCCAATGGCCCTTGTATGTCTCACAAAGGGACGCAAACATGATTGGAAGGATGATCTCCACATTGTCACTGACGAGGTTGCGAAAGTACTCGCTGTTCCAGAAGCACAGTGCACACTCAGCGACTTGATAGTGTGGACTAGCAATAGATTTAGCAAGCTGACGGAAGAGAGGCTCCCGAACTTTGTCAAATTCGGCAGGTCCTATGACTTCGAAGATGTTTCCGACTTCTTTCAAGAACATGGCCTCTTTTGTGCCGCTGACCTTGGGCCAGTAGCGTAATAGTCCGCGAATCACCTAGGCTAATCAGAATGCGATAACTAGAAGACCATCTGCGTCCTCTTACTTCTTCGGTAACTGATGCATCTTTTTCCAGAAATTGAACGACGCAGTAAGTCAGCTGAGGGTGGTACTTGCTTAGGATCTTGGGCTTGTGGAGAGGGAGTAACACGCTGGTCAGGAAGGTCTTATGTTCTTCCCTCAAAGGCCGAGCAAAGCCGTGGATGATAGAGCCAAAGACTTCGAGTAATTCGGCTATTCCGTTGAATCTTTGGGTTTCGTAAGTGAATTGGAAGAAGACATTGTTGATAGACTGCCGGATGAAGGATCGGAGATTGATGAACTTGAGGTAGATGCGGTGAAGCATCGTCTTCAAGAAGCCTCGCTCACGGGGATCTTCGGAGTCAAATAGCTCCAGAAGCTGAAGCACGAAGCTGTGGTCGATGTAGCCCTTGGCAATGTTCGTCTTGAAATCCAGGCTCCCGATGAGGCGCAGGAAAAGCTCGTAAACGACCTGGATATGTGGCCAAGCTACCTCAAGAACTGGCTCGTCCTCTTCTGGATCGAATATATCGTATTGGGGCTGCATTGGTGGCGGGATAGGTCGAAAGAGATTCCTGGCGAGCATGCCGACCACTTTCGGGTATACGGACTCCGTGATGACTTGCCTGTTAGCAATGTAGTCGAGTAGCTCATGCAGAACAACTCGCTTGATCTCCTTGGATGTCACATCACTACTCGCGTCGTTAAAGTCGAAGATGACGTTGCACTGGCTGATCTTTTGCATGAACAGCTCCTGCCGTTGGTTCGTGGGCACCTCGTGGAAACTTGGAAGACGCTCAAGCTCTCTATGGATGGGGATATTGAAGTGAGGCGAGCGCTGTCTCCTCGGCGTTTGTAGTTTCTCTGATATCGCATCATAGTTGCCAACTGCCCGATGGGTCGGGGCCGACGTCTGGCTGGCCGCTAGCGGTGCTGAGTCGTGAGGCATCGTTTCGGCAGCTCCTCGGTGGGGAAAGATGCTAGGATCAAGGTCAGCAATACAGCATGCGCGAGGATCTCGAAACTTACGCCGGGACTGAGCTGATAACGACGGTCCGCGCCAGTCCGGAGCTGGAGTCGCTATCATTAGGACTTAAAGCGCTACCTACCAAGCCAAAGCTGTCGGAGGCATAACCCTGCTGAGCAGCGTTCGACTGACCCGAATCTCCTCCGGTGTGAGTACTATGCGGTGGCAACGGCATGTTGCGGGCATCACCTAGATGTGACGTGGGGGACGAGGGTGTGAGCAACGCTTAACTCTGACGTAACTTGTTATTGATTAATTAATTTATTCATTTGTTGGATCCGTCACGGTTAAATTGATCAAATGGATAGTGTTCAAAGCAGTGATGATGATGTTGATTATTGCTTGCGCCGGTCATCCTGACCGGCCGGAAGAGGGGTTATCTGACCCCTCTTCTGACTAAGGTCAGGATATCAATCTATCAGAGGTTTCGTAATACAGGGTCATCTTCCAACACACCCCCCCAGCTGAAGCCGGGTCGGCTGAAGCTGCCGTGATCACATCTCTAGATCTTCTTCCTTTATCTCTTCCAGCTTCCTTTGCCCTAGCCGGTCTGAGATATCGACCAAACCTAGCTGCTGGACTGATCTTTGAAAGGCCGGGCCGCTGAGGGTCTTTGTGAGACCATCAGCGATCATTTCCTCTGTGCTGATATAGTCCACCTGGATCCTATTCCTCTGAGCTTCCTGCCTCAACCAATGATTGTGTATATCAACGTGCCGCAGCTTGGTCTGCAGCTTATTGATCTCTTGGTGGATAAGCCGGATCGTCTGCTGGTTGTCACATTGAATGTGGATTTTTTCCTCTTCCAGCCGGATCCCTAGCTCTCTAACCAGCCGGGAGATAAACATAGCCTCCCTAGCTGCTTGAGATAGGGCTAGTAACTCGGCCTCAGTCGTTGACGTTGTGACTGTATCCTGCTTGTTGGCCCTCCATCCGATCGTTCCTCCGAATAGTCTCATGACGTAGGCTTGGGAGCTTTTCCGGTCAGGGTTATCTGCGTAGGAAGCATCGCTAGCTATAAGGAACAGATCGTCCTGGCCGAATTGAAGAGCTAGGCTGCTGGTCTTCTTGAGATACAGAAGGACTCGATCAGCAGCTTGATGATGATCCGGTCCTGGGTTCGAATTGAATCTAGCTAGCTGAGAGACCGGAAATGCTGCATCTGGCCGGGTCATAACAACTGCATAGAGGATTGATCCGACCTTCCGTTGGTATCGTCGGATTGACGGGATCGAGGCCCGTTGCTCGTACGGCTGCAGGGCTTCCCTTTTCATCGGGGTCTCATGCCGTTGATCTAGGTCATCCACAAGGTTAGCGATCTTGGCTAGATACGAGGATTGGGACAACCAGATCAGTCTTTTCTTCCGGTCTCGAATGACCTCGATCCCTAGGAACCACTGAAGATCCTGTCCGCCGGTCAGGTCATAATGACCCTTAAGGTCGGCAACAGCCTTCTGAACGTCCTGCCGCTTATCCTTCCGGCAGGCAAAGACGATATCATCAACATAGTAAAAGACGATGATCCCGTCCTTTGTCATACAGCAGGGCTCGTGCCGGACCGGCTTGAAGCCTAGGTCTTGGAGTGTGGCTGTGAGTTCCTTCTGCCAAAGGAGAGGGGATTCCCGTAGACCGTATAGGGCTTTCTGGATCAGTAGAATCTTTCCGGCTGATCTGTATCCAGGCGGCATTCTCATTAGGATGTGACGGTCTAGCTTGGCGTTGACGAAGGCATTGACTGTATCATACTGTATGAGATCCAGGTCAAATCGGGCCGCTGTTGCTATCAGGGTTCGGAAGGACCTTCCGGCTAGGGTTGCGGCGTAGGTCTCTTCGTCTAGCCCTTTCGGCTGCTGGTCTCCTCGAACAACTAGCCTAGCCTTACACTTGATGAATCGGCCATGCTTATCTAGCTTGTAGACGTAGACCCACATGCAATCGAGGGTCTGTTTCCCTAGGGTTCTAGGATCATCTAGATCTATCTCGATCCATGACTCCATTTCCCTATGACTGCGCAAGTGGTCCCGTTCAGCCTGTTCAAATTGGACCCCCATCGGATGATCCTTTAGATCCCGATGGTGCCGCGGCAGCTTAGGTAGCTGACTCTGATGAACAGACCTAGGTTTCCTCAACATCCGTTGCAGCTTAGCCTTATCAATGACCTTCCCGTCGAGGGTGCCTATTGGGCTAGCTAATCTTCCGGCGTTGAAGGCAGCTTTCCAGATATCAGACCGTTCAACCCTAGAGACCCTAGGGTCTTTAGGATCTAGCCCACCTGGTGGATCCGAGGCATCCTGGATTGTCATCGCTAGAAGTGCTGCTGGCAGCAGAGATACAGGAGTCGGGTAGGCTCTATCATAGGAGCTAGGGGCACCAGATTGACTGCCTTCTAAGGCGTCATATCCTTCCCCTAGTTTTCCTTGAGATTCTCCCTCAACCCTATCGCTAGAATGCACAACAGTACCAGCTGGTTGATCAGACCTAGCCTCTGATAGTGTCATCCCTATATCCCTATTTTCTGGTCCATCTACATACGGGATAGAATCAATATCATCAACCTGATCCCTTAGACCTAGGTCATAGACCTGATCCCTCGGGCCTAGGTCAGCAACATCGTCCTGATCCTCGTCATAGACATCACTCTGATCCTCGTTGTGGGATTCATCCCACCTAGAGGTCAGTCTGCTAGCTGTTTCTTCTGGTGACTGATCCGGTTGAGCCTCTTCCACCTGGTTCAGCAGCCGGTCCAATTCCTCTCTGCTGACGTGCAATAGATCATCCCGTAGCTGGTTGATGTCTCCATTAAATTGTTCGTCTTCATTGAAAATGACATCTCTAGTAGAGATGATCTTCCCAGTAGCCGGGTTCCAGATCCGATAGATATTGGTTGACTGGTATCCCACAAGGTGGCCGATCCAGGCACGGGGATTTAGCCGCTGCCGCTTATTCCTGCCCTTCAGGGCGTCTTGGGTCAAGGCAAATGCCTTAGATCCATAGACCCGTAGGTGGCCTAGATAAGGGACCTTGTTTTCCTGACCGTGACCGTCTCGCTGGGCTATTGCTGTGTGGAACCGGGCATAGGGGGGATCCCAGTTATTGACCCCCCTAGGGGTCCGGTTGTAGAGATAAACAGCAGCTCGATAGATCTCGACCCAAAGAAAAGAGGGAAATCGGGCTCCGGCCCGTAGGGCCCTTGCCTTGATTTTGATGACCTTGCCGGATAGCTCGGCTCCGCCATTCTGGGCAGCTGTGTCTGCAGCTGTTGACTCCACGATAATGCTCATCCCGGTAAAGAACCGATATACTAGCCGGGGCCGGTCTTCGGACTTTCCTAGGATCTCTCTATCGCACTCAACAACTCGAGGCTTCAGCTGATACTGACGGACTAAGTGACCTAGGAAGTCCTTGAAGACTGCGATAAGCTCCTTGTGTTGCCGGGTCTTAAGGTAATAGTCCCAGATGTAACCGGAATAGCAGTCTGTTATCAATAACAGACTAACCCTTCCTTCTGGGTCCTCTTCCAGGTCATGGAAGTCAATTGCTAGTTTTAGACCCGGTCCAGCTGGAAGGTCTCTTGGCCGGCGGCTGACTTGTAGGGTCATCTTGGAAGTGCCGCAGTCATCACAGCTGACGGTTGTGATCCCTTTGATCCGGGCCCCGGTGACCTTACTGACTAGCCTTTCTAGGGCTTGAGGTCCCGGATGACCTAGCCGTAGGTGCCAACGGCGGGCATCTTGCTTTGTTGCCTTAGGTCGGGTTGATGAGTTGAACCGGCTGTGCCGGGCAGGGAAGGCAGCGTCACAAGGGACGTATTCTAGGACGAATTGGTCATAATGATCAGATAAGAAGCATCTGATCAGACCGTCTGAGGCCCTTAGGCAGTTGTGATCTGGGCGTGTGTCCCACCAATAGCCCTGACGTTGCAGTCTTCGTAGGGATACTAGATTGCAAGGGAAGTCAGGGCAATAGGCTACATCGAACAGAGGAATAACCCTAGGGCCCTTAGGTCCTTTGGTCATAATGTTGACTTGGCCGTATCCTTGGACTAGGACTTCGTGTTCTCCGGCAATAAGGACGTCATCGGCTCTAGCAGGCCGATATCCTAGGAACCGGCAGATCTCGTTGAAGATATGGATTGTGGTCCCAGAGTCTAGGATAGCTGACTTCCGTAGGGGATATCCTGATGCCGCAAAGGCCGCTCTGATCGAGGTTATCAGGTCATCGCAGCGGCCGACTTCCCGGCCTAGTCAATCTGTTTCCTCGAGGGCATCTGGTGGATTTAGTCAGAATTTGTAGCATGATTTACAGTCAGTGTTGCTAATTCAGCCCGAAGGGCGTTTTACTCAGTCAGAAAGAATTGAGCATAAAACCTCCTCTGATTGGCTAATTGGCCTGGCCTGTACTCAACTCGCGCACGAATTGGTCCGCTGATAACGCCACCAAATGAAGCCGCAAAAACCCCTGAGCGTTGACCAGGTAATTAGCTAGCTTGGCAAGCTCTCCAAGAGCTTTCAGGTTCTTCTTTTCTTCAATGCAATCCTTACACTAACCTACGTGGCGGCTGCTTCCCTGTTCCGTCGAATCTATCAAACCCATCAGGTTGCTAACGGTATCTAGGTTCACATATCACCTCCCGCATCGGGCCTACCTCTCAAGATTCCCCGGTTACCCTGCCTCCGGGAAGCAGTGCAGTTTCCTCCCTGATCATTCAGACCTGATCTAACTACCTCAAAGACAACCTCTCTATGGTACTGGACGTAAGTTGTCGCGAAGCCTCCTTGCCCGAGCGATATCCAGCAGTCTAGGTGGGTAAGAGGTGGGATATATATACGACCAGATGGAGGACGATATACTCCAGGCAGTTCGAAACTGCCGTACCTGCCAGAAAGACCTGCCCGAAGTCGAATTTCGAAGCGTCAAGGACCCTACGAAGTTTACAGGAGAGTGTGCTAGCTGTAGGGCACGCCGAAGGGAACGGGAAGCCGGATCTCGAGCCGCCGTTGTCGCCATGCGGAATATCGCCTTGAGACTATCGCCACGCAGAGCCACGAAAAGGACCGATTCTCTAGCTAACCTGACGCCTCCAAGACGGGCTGCGCCAACGCCTGCGTCTGTGCACGGTTTACAACCTCCTGCCACGCCTGCTTTATTCCGTCGCCTGGCGCCCACACTCCAGGGACTGCCTAGACCTCAGCTGGGGCCATCTACCCCAAGCGCGGTAGAGGGACCTTCCCCTATCACTCCTACCCTTAGCCTGCCAACAGTAGTTCTGGGCACACCGATTCCTCAAACGCCA